AATGACCCGCCATTCTGGTTGCTAGACCCACTATTCAGAGTGTAGACCCACCATTCTGTTTGCCAGACCCCTCTTCTAGGGCGGAGACCCACCTCGCCCACCCCCCCCCCCCCCCCCCCCCCCCCCCCCCATTATTAAGACTATTCACATGTGATTATATTTAGCAGCAGTCCTTTAAGTTTAATTACATCTTATAATTATCTCGTGCTGATATTTTATAATAATTTTCGCCGCGCTGTACCTACTGGGTGAAGTGAGGTCAACTTTGGGGGTTTAGGGTTTCTTGATCGTCGATGTTGTGTGTACTCCATGGAGCTCAGTCATGGTTTCCAAGTAAGCTGCTTTTTCGTGGACTCTAATTAATATAATTTCGGCGACAATTTCTCGTTTCATTCATGGATCGAATAAAAATGGGTTTACCAATTCGTGTGTATTTGATATTTGACTTCTGATAGAGGTCCTGATTCTATATCTAATGCATGGTTCTTGTCTATTAATAACCCCAGCAGAATGAAAGGTTTCAGTTTTTTACACGTCTAACAACCCTCGTGTTTTGTTCAGAGCGTTTGATATTCAATACGAAGCGGCCTCTGCTATTGTGCACGCCGCGATTCTGTCCCACACAATTTGGTCCCTTCGAAGACTTATGTTCACACTACCAGGGCCCCTACTTATCATCTACTACGGATGTCTTTTTAATGTCCTCCGCAAAGTGACAAGCAGTTCAGACGACAATGTTGCGTGAAACTGCTATGATGATCATAAGATGCTGGCAGGCTGTAATTCACCATAAAACGAAACAAACTAAGTCTGATGGTTAACATAATGTTCATATTGTTATCATGCCGTGCTATGTTTTCATGTATTAGATTAAATATCTTATCTGCTTAAAAGAATTTGTCTAATTTGACATCAAGCTTCGAAACTCAACTTTTCATTTAGCTTGTGGCTAAACAAGTTTTCGCCTTATTTCAGTCACCGTTATCTTTGTTGTCATTATATCTGGTGGTTCAGCGATACACAATCTTACGTTCGTTAAATAAAACAAAAGGCGTGGTTAGACACTGTAAATGCATCAAAAAACTGTCGAAGATATAGCTAAAGAAATTGTGCCAAATATGGCAAATTTTTAAAAAAACTCTGCTCTCTTTAATTATGAAATCCATCCAAGTAAAAAGTTGTTATTACCGAGTTTTGTATTCAAAAAACCTGTCTACGGCTTCTTGGGAGAAATGGAACGGATTCTATTGGGACGTTCTGAAAAATTGGTAAGGCTGAAATTGGTAGGGTACAAAACTAAGTTGGTAAACACATCTTGTTTGAAAACTGTTGACCGAATGCACTCTCTGACAACACAAGCAGGCCAAAATTTCCAAATCCGTTTTATCTGCTCAAACTGGTTCTTAAATTCTTGAATCCAGCCAAGGGTATAATGGGGGGTGTTCTGGGAATGCTAGGCCCCAAACTTCGTTGGAAACACTATTAGGGTCATACCAAACGATTCCAGACTGTTTTGGGGCATCACGACGAGTTTTAGAGAAAAAAATTCATTTTGTTCAATTCCGTTCCTTCCATGACTCAGGGAGCCTCTGGGCGACAATTTGACGTCAAATTAGTTAGTAAAACACATCCCCCTACAAGTACAATCATCTGCAGCACTCTGCAGCCCCTTTAAACAGGACTAAAAATGGACCGTATCAAAAATGCCGCAAAAACCGTATATCTCACGGTATTCAATTTCGGATACTCAGGAACCAGCTTTTCTGATACGGAAATGGAATCAAGTTCTCTCGTGGGCGTTCTGGGAGTGCTAGGGCCACCAAACTTTGTAGGAACACTATAGGGTCAATACCAAACCGATTCCGACCTGTTTGGGGCTATCCGAGAGTTTTAGAAAAAAAAATTCATTTTTGTTCATTCCGTTTCATTCCATGACTACCAAAAACCCCTCTGGCGACAATTTTGACGTCAAAATAGTTAGTAAACACATCCCCCTACACCGTGAAACCATTTCCAGCACTCTGAGACTACTTTAACAGACTAAAATGACCGTATCAAAATGCCTCAAAAACCGTATCATCTGGTTCCACAATTTCCGATTTATCTTCTGTTTGCCGCGGACGCGATACCTGAAACCTAATGAAAGCTTACGGCGCGGCTGACATTGTCATGCTTTCAGCCGCGCTACGTTTCCAGTTTCAGGCGCGCTACGTTTCAATACCACTCGTAGGTGGGCACACCAGTGTCACCGAGCTGCGAAGGATTGACATCGTGAATCAACAAAGTTAGCTGATAGAATCAAGAATGTTTTATTTAGAAAATCAAGTCAAAAGTAAGTAAATAAAGATTATGACATAAGATCATCACAAGTGTCTATAAAATATCATTGCACTAAATAAAAAATAATTTAAATAAATATATTTTTCCATCAACATTAATAATTCATCAAATTAAATTTTATTAATTAATAAAATCTAATACATTATCTATAAATAATTCATTAATACTTCCCAGTGGAATAAAGATTTATAAAAATGCTTCTTTGTCTTTGCCACAAAAGGATGAAACCAAAGATATTCATTATGCCAAAGATACAGTGAAGCGATGAATTTCACCCAAATAAATGCAAGGTGCTCTTTATATCTGGCAAAATGAGCGAATAGCGCACGTTTTAGCTTTCCTCGCAAGCACATTACACTAATAGTACTACAAAGGGTTTTTATGAAATTTTCTAAGATTTTTATTGAATTTTTATATTGAATTTTATATAGGGTCATACATTATTGTTATATGATTATGTGTATATTATTTGAATGGGTATTTTTTTTCTTATGAATTTTTTGAAACAAGACTGTATCAGCATTTGCATTTCAAAGGTATTTAATTTTTGATTAGATCCGCATTGAAAGAATAATTCGTTCTGACTGCTGGACACACACTAATTACTGGTAGATAAATCCTTTTAGTCATATAGATCTTTAAAAAAGTCTTTGTGACCCTAATCTCGATATAAAGCTGGCTCCAGACTCATCTGACTGCTGACGTCCACTCCTAAATTTGTGCCTTTGAGCCAATTTAGTAGGTGCTACATTCTCCGGCGCACACAAAGCTTTTAAAAGCTTAAAAATTTCAGCATCATATTTAGATATGAACATCGCTACATTCTTTTTTATGATCAAGGTTTGCTCTGCTGCGTAACTGTTGTCGTCTGCTAGGTCCGGCACTGCCCCCATCCATGAATTAGCTAGGGCATGAAATTCGAATCTTTCCACCCAGTTTTTCACATCTGCCATCAGGGACAGGTTTTCTAATTTGTTTGCCATCTTCTCGTCGCCAGTTTTGATATGTAGACAAGGATCAGACTATGTAGTACTAACCATAAGAGGATAGGGAAGTTCATTGATTAGTAAACATAACAATATCAATTATAGTAATAATACAATATATAACAGCGATATGCTTCCGAACAGGGTACATGCAATAGTACTTACGTAAGTTAAATTGTCAGACCTATAATGTATAAATTAATTGAGCATTGGGCCTAGTGTTTTGGGTTACCTCTGGACGGCATAATGGCATATGACTAAGTAATCGGGAAGCGATACTGGAATCATGATATTCACTGTTTTAAAGAAGATCGTTATAAGTAAAATACAATTTTTAAGTAAAATACAATTTTTATTTTCCACAGAAGAATCAATACATATTGAACTATAAATGGCAAAATAAAAATCAATTATGCAATAAAGGAATCTTAAAAGGGTTTGTACTATTCATTCCTGAGGGGCGGAGGGAATTTAAGGCATGTATATATCGGTGCTCTTAACATCTAAACTACTAGGACTTGGAATTTTCTAGGATACACACTGAAACACTATTGTTAAAATTTTCCTTCTGAGTCAGTCCATGCTCTATATGGAGGTGGAGTCCTACGAACTATAAATATCCGATAATTCCATTAATAATCATTAAAAGTTGCTTTGTCATTTGTAAAATCAAAAACGAAAAGCTGTACGCTGAACGTGCGCGGCATTTTTTCTGCAGCTGCCTAGCTTGTAGCCGCTAACATATAGATAACTTTTCTTTAACAGGAAGAATATTTATTTTCTTCTGCCCGGTAGCAAGTTTATTTATAACTGGACTAGTGTTGAATAATGATCTATTTACGGCCTGCTTTTATGTATAGCAATCTAGGTAAACTATAGGTAAAAATATAATATTAATCATAAGCTAAAATGTACTAATCTTTGTATTCTAAATGGGGAAAAAGAAGAAACATTGTCAGTCAGTCGAGAAAATTGTCAGTCAGGCTATATGGCAGCTTTGTAGATGTTGTGACTATGCTAGTAGTGGTCCCAACAAACTGCTCGGGGTGAGTTACAGTTTGAGGGGACCATATCACATATGACAGAACAATGTGCAAATATAGACCTTACTAAATAGAATGATTCTGTCTGCCTTTTATTAGTAATTAAATTGCATGTTCTGTTAATTAATAAGAGTTAATAAGAGTTGAAGGCTCTTGAAAAATAGAAGAAGGGGAGTCATGAATTGTAACGTTACACCATGCACTAAACGAATGCACACGGCTTATGGTCAGTCCGATTAAGTAAAATAGGAGATATTGGATGCGAAATGAAATCTTACATGATGCCAAAATAAGATCTCTACAAATTATCGTATACGATAGCACAGCGCCTCTTTCAAGAATTCTGCTCCAGTCCTTAGCTTGATCTTTTGGCAAGCCCCTCCAAATTTAAACCTCAACCACGATTTCCATTTTTCCCATCATTCGACTTAGTCAATATAGCTGAAGGGTCAAGTGAAAGTTTTTTTAATCATTTTTAAAACTTTCAGCATCAATTATAAATTGAATATTCATTAAATCTTTCAGGAGCATCATGTATGATGTAAATCAGGTGCCCCTGTTTAGTAAAGATATTATCTTACTCTTATTGATTTAAACCTACTGTCTTTATAAACATTTAATTTTGCACATGTTTTAGCGTTAACGAGGGAAGTGTTTTGGTCATGTAGCAAAATGGAAAGCTGCGATTTAGCCTTTCAGTATGGCAAAGATGCTCTTTCCTAGCCATGGGACCTACCGAAACACAAAATTTAACGGTGAGTTCTCATTTAAGACTATTTTCAGGTAGGTAGAACGGTTCTGGTATCTGTAGAGAGAAATTCTTATGTTTTTTTAAAATATTTGTTTTGATTTAAACATATTGCTGAATTTTTCAGGTTGTTCTAAGAGTAAGACCCCCAACTGAGCGCCATGTTGGTAAAGACAGGATTGTGCATGTTTTGGATGGGCAGGTTATTTATTTATTTTTTATTCAATGCACCAAACCTTTGGTTATCAAAATCCATAAACATAAAATATAGTTGAATAGTTTGTAGACTTGTTAACACACCAATTTCCGACAGATGGTTATCCTGACGGACCCTAGAGATGAGGACGACATCTTGCGAGCAAAACGATCAAGGGAAAAGCGGTACATGTTCGACATAGCATTCGACAGTTACAATACTCAACTGGATGTTTACTTGGCAACAACAAAACCTCTTATTAGCTCAGTTCTTGATGGTTTTAATGCAACAGTTTTTGCATATGGTCCTACAGGTAAACATTGTTAATTTATATTACAAAAAAGTAAAGTTCAATACAATAGAAGAACCTCTTTGAGCTGCTGACTTAGAAAAATGTTACCTGACCAACTCTAAATTCAGGGACAGGGAAAACATACACAATGCTGGGTACTGGTGATAACCCTGGGATAATGGCACTTGCTTTGAATGAAATATTTGCCCTTGTGAGGAAAGGTTCTGAGAATAGCACCTACACCGTCTACATGAGCTATCTTGAGGTAATTGCCAACTCATTACTACATATGTCTACTTAATACTGATGCATTCTTGTGATGCAGGAAAAAAAAACACTTGAATTGCAAAGATTTTTTTAACAGTTAAACTTTCTCTTCTTCCTGTTTACGTATTGACTATTGCAGACGTTATGTCTTGTTAAAAAGCTTAGCATGAGATGTGAAAGTTCTTTGTGAATGTTAGTATCATGAGTAAGTAACACGTAAGGAACAATAAATAGTGACTGCAGTGCCGTTATCTTAACAAGTAGTTTAATGTTAAAATGTGTGATCTAATCTGAATTCTAATGCTGTTTCAACCAGCTGACAAACATTCGAATGGCGTAGTTGACTAAGAAGACTACTTCTAGATTTCTGAAGAATTCATTATAGAAGTTTGTTTAACCAGATTTGTTGAACGTAATATCGACTAACATGTCACGTGGCAGGTTTATAACGAGCTGATAAGAGACCTGCTGTGTCCAGAGTCAGGGGATCTGGAGCTGAGGGAGGACAGTACTGGTGTAACTGTTGCTGGGCTTGAAGAGGTAATATTATTACTGGAGAAGGAAGGGGGAGGGGGGCAACTTGGGGGTCACTGTGGTTGGGTTTATCGAAGTAATAAATCTTGATAAGCGTAAAATTTGACACAATATGTACATAATTTAAAATTCGTATAATGTCAGGTAGAAGCGCAGAGCACAAGAGAAGTTATGGACATGTTGAGGGACGGTAACAAGAGGAGAACTACTGAACCAACCTCAGTAAACAAAACTAGCTCCAGATCTCACGCAGTGCTACAGGTACACAGTGATAATATATTTTATTTACTTTAAATCATCGACAAATAATCAAGAGAACAAATTAAAAGGTTTACGATACCTTCTCGCTACTACTCCACAGACTTACACAACATAACAACATAGCTATAATATAATATATCAATACAGATAGTTAAATATTATATATTCCAAGATAGGCATCCCCTGGTACAGAGATACTATCTCCAGGTAGAGAGATAGTATCTCCAGGCACAGAGATATCCAAAGTGATACTGTAACTCCAGGGTGATAATATCCGTTGTTACAAGTACTCCATTAGTCCCGTCTAGACTCTAGATGTGGTCTCTGTCGATATTATATCTAGTCTAAACTGCTCTACAGTTCCCATCTTTATAGTGTTGTTGTATAACCTGGTATCATACCTAGATCTATGAAGTGTTCTGTGTTGCACAAGAGCCTATTTCGCAACTGGTAGCATGCTCTCCTCGGTAGCATGCTCTCCTCGTCCCACCCACGCTAAATACCAATAAATTTAGTAATTGTTCACTTTCCGTTATCATGGTTACAAATTGAACGTGTTTTAAATACCCAAGCTATTATTGTAGTACCGGCCATATCTCCCCGCCTCATTTCCCTGTAACCCTAGCAACCCAGTGTTCTAGAAGGTCCCCGTGCCGGCTCTATTGTTTTGACATTGTTCACGGTTCAGTGTTTTTACTGCTCGGTCATCACAACATTCGTCATGACAACGTATATCACGTGACAGGGTGATGACCAATAAGAATAAAGAAGCTGTAACCTGAGCTACCTAGAGGTTACATATAATCAGATTACAGCGGTGCCAGGTAGTTGTAAGTTGTAATCAGCGGTACCTGACTTTCCAATCCTCTAACTTGTATTAGCGGACCCCCCTACACTCTTAAATTTTCTCCTCAAAACTGGTGGTGATTCCCAAAACTCAATGATTTCCGTAGAAGAAGTAGTAGATTTCCGAAGAAATACTGACAGTTGGATAATATCCGGTTGGAAGAGACAAGGACAAATGAAACAGGAAGTTAGTCCGAATGTAGGCAAATTTTCGGCGTCAACGCCATCTTGACATCTTCAGGCTCAAATTATTTGTTATATAGTAGTGTTGAAAGTATTAATACTTTCAAAAGTTTTAATACTTTCAACACTACTGTATATAACAAATAATTTGAGCCTGAAGATGGCCTTGACACCGAAAGTTTTCCTACATTTCTAACTTCCTGTTTCATTTGTCCTTGTCTCTTCCAACCGGATATTATCCAACTATCAGTATTTCAATCATGAGACTAATAAACAGCGAACTACTCCATCATTTGATATTTCCGAAGAAGTGTACAAATATCGGTTTGGCAACTTTGCCGCCTTTAGCTCGTGCATAAAATCACTATAATCGGTATATAATGGATTTCAAATGTATATCAGGTAACGTCAGATCGGTATAGCAAGCATCACATATTAAGCTAACTACATGAGTTCGCCGAACAAATTTCTATTCAATTATCAATTCCTGTATTTATCAGTTTATGCTAATGCTACTAACGGATATAGATTAAATCTGTTCTTCCCTATCATACTGAACTTTGGGAAACAAATCAGACTGATATACAAAATAATTGCCGATTAATAATCATTAAAAAACTATTTATAGTTTTATTTATTTATTTTTTACAAATTATTTATCCACCTCACAATAAGAAATAATAAAGATAATAATAATTCCACGTATGAAACTGTTCTCTAGATACTACATTCTGTAGGACTCTAAACTTACATTTCCCCCTAGTAACCACTCCTTATATTCCAGGTAACTGTAAAGAAGTTGGGTAGAGCACGCTCTCTAACAGAGACAGTAAGCACAGGTAAACTCTACATGATAGATTTAGCAGGGAGCGAGCGAGCAACGCACACTAAAAACAGAGGAACTCGTCTGGTAGAAGGAGCTCACATTAACAGATCCCTCCTCGCCCTGGGTAACTGTATCAAGGCTCTCAGTAACAATACCTCTTCTTATGTGAACTATAGGGACAGTAAACTTACCCGCCTTTTGAAGGACTCGCTGGGAGGAAACTGTCGAACTGTTATGATAGCCCACGTGTCACCTGACTGTCACGTGTTCGATGAGAGCAGGAATACTCTTCAGTACGCAGATCGGGCAAAGCGCATCAAAACCAAGGTATGTTTTGTAAACTGCACCAAGCACATTAAATATCAGGTTAATAATTATTTATCAATAAGTAAGTATTTTCTGGATTACATTCTGAATCATTATCATAATCATTTTCAAAATATTTTTCAGATTCGACCGAACCTACAGACGGTATCACATCACATCGCCAAATATCCCATTATTGTGGAGGAATTACACAAAGAGATTGCCAGACTGAAAAAAATAAACAGCAAGGGTTCAGACACTCAGTCACTAGAGTCAGAATCTGGTCAGATATTTAGCTAACATTAGAGTCAACAGTTATCATTTTTATTTAGTTAATTTGTATCCTGGAATAAAGAAAAGATTTCTTTGTAAAGCTTGATTCTTTGAGATCTTACAATTCCCAGGTTATCGACATAGTTACACACAATTACAGGGATACTACCTGTAAAAGACAGAGAGTTACTGGAGACAAAACGTGCTCAGCTTGATAGAGCCTTCAATAAACAACTGAAGAATAAGTAAGTTAATATAATAATAATACCAATATAAGGTTATATAGATCACAACCGCTTTCTTTTATTGTGTAGAAGTCCAGCCATGAAATATATATATAATATATATTACCACATTGGTAACACTGCCATATAAAGTAGTTTAACTTAGTCAAAACACCCGTCAAGTTAATAGAGTGTGGTTACTGTGTTAAATATTAACTGGAATTGTTTCAGAGAAAGACTGTCCAGATTAGAAGGACAGCAGAAGTTAGGAGGGCACAAAACAGGACACCTCCAATCCTTACTACACCAACACATAGAGTCCAGACCTCTGTACAATATCCTGCCCCCTATCCACGGTGCACTGCCTCCCCTCACACCCACCTCAACCTCACAACCTGAACTACTTCCTTCATCATCTCAACCTGACCTGTCCTCCTCCCCTCAACCCTTAACACCTGCCTCCCAACTTGATATAGAGTCCAAGGTTGGTTTTATACTCTGCAAATGTTGAAATATATGTGTGATATTTAACAGGTTGTGTTGAAGCTGTGTGTGGTGAATTAGTTCTCACTACAGTGGGGTTGTCATGACAACCAAATACCAATCATGTAAAACGTTACACCTTGTCATTATTGTGCTACATTCAGTGTTACTATAGTCTCCGTATCTACAAGTTGGGGGGGGGGGGGGGGGGTGTGGGAGGGGCAATATTCCTTTTCGTTGCAATTGGTATAGTGTACAGACACATAACTTCAAATTCACTTATTTGAGATAACGATATGCTGAGTTAGACAATCCACCAGTCTTCCCTTGAAGGAACCTCATGATACACTATGACTTTAAATAAGCGCTCATAAATTGAGTGTAATTTATAAATTTAGTGTAATTCTGACGCAAATTACGTGAGTTATTAAATGGTTGCATGTGGGCAGTTACTTGTGAGCCACCCTGTATATCTGTGTCTTATCTTTGGCTAATCTGTGGCTAATCTGTGGCTCTCATAACCTCATAATTATTAATGATAGCTTTTCCGGTGAGCTGGTCACGTTACTTAAAAACCGTTTAAAAACCACTCTACAGTTCCTGGATACTGCAATAAAGTTAACTTATATTCACTGTAGCTGCAACATAATATACAAGTAATTTAAAGGTTAAATTACACATGTTTGTTACTCAGGAGATAGAGATAAGATCTGCGCTACGTCGGCAGTCTGCTCGCAAGAGAAGAGAGGAGAATTCTAAGGATAAACTGTTACGAGTCTCCTCTAATCTTGCAGAAAAGTACAGGGCCGTTGAAGAGGTATGTCACCATGGAAACCCCTTTTTTTCTAAACGAGTTAAAAATTTATAACGATTATAATCATTTAAAATTTTAAAATTTTTGTTTATTTAAAAAAAAAATATAGAAGGTCAGACACTAGAATATTATATGGTCATCATATTCCAGGATATAGAAGATAAAATACTAGATACAGATCACAAGGAACTTCTAGGACTAGTATCTAATGTGCACGTGTTAGAACTGCAGCTAGCTGGGAGCAGGGAGCAAGTGCACAGTTTGGGTGCAGTAGTGGAGGAACAGGGACACTGGCTCAACTCCCACTACCAGTATAATATACAGTTACTGGAGGTGGTCAGGACTCAGCATCAGTTGCTGACTAACAACAATGTTCATAATACTCCTCAACTGGACAAACTTTATGAGTAAGTTTATTTACTGTTAGTTTGTAGTTAGGTAATTGTGATAATCACAGTTATAGTTACCATAGTAAATTAACTAAATTAACTAAATTAACTAAATTAACTAAATTAACTAAAGTAACTAAATTAACTAAAGTAACTAAAGTAACTAAGGTAACTAAAGTAACTAAAGTAACTAAAGTAGCTAAAGTAACTAAAGTAACTAAAGTAACTAAAGTAATTAAAATAACTAAAGTAACTAAAGTAACCATCATAACTAACTATCAATAACCATGGTAACTCTACAGAAAACTACAAGAGAGAAGTTTAACACAGTACAACGTACTGCCCCGTATTAGAAGTGCAGTGAGCAGTATAACGGCTGAGAGTGAGGAGGATTCCCCACCTTCCACCCCTCCTCTTAGTGATCACACTCCTGGTAATTAATTAATTAATAAGATTAGTGATCACACTCCTGGTAATTAATTAATTAATTAAATTAGTGAACACACTCCTAGTAATAGAGCAGCTATTTCAATAAACAAAATTATTGTTTTCACTTTTTTGTTGTTGATTGGTTTAAATTGTATATTTTGTTCTTCGTCTTAGATATACCTCACCACTTGAAATATCCGTAAAATATAACTAGTCATAACAAAATAATTTATATAGAATAGACTTATGAGTAATGATTTATTTAAACGTATTATAATTGCACTAATCACAAATAATTCTTAACGGTATAAAATACGTTAATATAGATTAGGAATACAATTACTGTACAAAACAGAATGAATAAAAATCAGCAATAAAGTCTAATATGAATTAAATAATACCAACATATTTAAAAAGCATATCATTGCTCCGTTATTAAATGTTTAATACAAACGTACTGCTATTTTTTATAATCAGACATAGAAATAATTGTATTTGTATCGTATACAATATATACATTAATATTTAATAGTAATACATTGATTCCATATTTTCCCCAATGATTAATTAACGATAACTTACCTTTCCTTGTCAGTGTTCACTAAGACATACAATGTGGTTGATAAGGATGGAGAAGGAGGAGACATGATTAGCAAACTGGAGGAAAGAGACGTTTCACAGACCACTATGCACGTTCTCTCTACCCCTAGTCTTACAGGTAATAGCTGAATTGTAGTACCTTGTCACACCTTGTCACACCTTGTCACACCTTGTCACTACTGTTCTACATCCAGTTACCATTATACTTATAATGTAGTCTCCGTATAGACAATACTATACTCTAAAATTCAAGTTAAGGGGAGGGGTGGGGTTACCAGAGCAGACTGTTTGGGGGGGGGGGGGGGGGGGGTTACCAGAGCAGACTGTTGGGGGGGGGGGGGGGGGGGGTTACCAGAGCAGACTGTTGGGGGGGGGGGGGGGTGGGGTTACCAGAGCAGACTGTTTGGGGGGGAGGGGTGGGGTTACCAGAGCAGACTGTTTGGGGGGGGGGGGGGGGTTACCAGAGCAGACTGTTGGGGGGGGGGGGGGGTTACCAGAGCAGACTGTTGGGGGGGGGGGGGTTACCAGAGCAGACTGTTTGGGGGGGGGGGGGGGGTACCAGAGCAGACTGTTGGGGGGGGGGGGGGGTGGGGTTACCAGAGCAGACTGTTGGGGGGGAGGGGTGGGGTTACCAGAGCAGACTGTTGGGGGGGGGGTGGGATTACCAGAGCAGACTGTTTGGGGGGGGGGGGTTACCAGAGCAGACTGTTGGGGGGGGGTGGGATTACCAGAGCAGACTGTTTGGGGGGGGGGGGTTACCAGAGCAGACTGTTGGGGGGGGTTACCAGAGCAGACTGTTGGGGGGGGGGTTACCAGAGCAGACTGTTTGGGGGGGGGGGGGGGGGGGGTTACCAGAGCAGACTGTTGGGGGGGGGGGTGGGGTTACCAGAGCAGACTGTTGGGGGGGAGGGGTGGGGTTACCAGAGCAGACTGTTGGGGGGGGGGGGTGGGGTTACCAGAGTAGACTGTTGGGGGGGAGGGTGGGGTTACCAGAGCAGACTGTTGGGGGGGGGGGTTACCAGAGCAGACTGTTTGGGGGGGGGGGGGTTACCAGAGCAGACTGTTGGGGGGGGGGTGGGGTTACCAGAGCAGACTGTTGGGGGGGGAGGGGTGGGGTTACCAGAGCAGACTGTTGGGGGGGGGGGGGGGGTTACCAGAGCAGACTGTTGGGGGGGGGGGGGGGTTACCAGAGCAGACTGTTTGGGGGGGGGGGGGGGTTACCAGAGCAGACTGTTGGGGGGGAGGGGTGGGGTTACCAGAGCAGACTGTTTGGGGGGGGGGGTTACCAGAGCAGACTGTTGGGGGGGGGGGGGGTGGGGTTACCAGAGCAGACTGTTGGGGGGGAGGGGTGGGGTTACCAGAGCAGACTGTTTGGGGGGGGGGGGGGGGGTTACCAGAGCAGACTGTTGGGGGGGGGGGTTACCAGAGCAGACTGTTGGGGGGGGGGGGGTTACCAGAGCAGACTGTTTGGGGGGGGGGGGTTACCAGAGCAGACTGTTGGGGGGGGGGTGGGGTTACCAGAGCAGACTGTTGGGGGGAGGGGTGGGGTTACCAGAGCAGACTGTTGGGGGGGGGTGGGATTACCAGAGCAGACTGTTTGGGGGGGGGGGGGGTTACCAGAGCAGACTGTTGGGGGGGGGGGGGTTACCAGAGCAGACTGTTTGGGGGGGGGGGGGTTACCAGAGCAGACTGTTGGGGGGGGGGGGGTGGGGTTACCAGAGCAGACTGTTGGGGGGGAGGGGTGGGGTTACCAGAGCAGACTGTTGGGGGGGGGGTGGGTTACCAGAGCAGACTGTTGGGGGGGGGGGTGGGGTTACCAGAGCAGACTGTTGGGGGGGGGGGGTTACCAGAGCAGACTGTTTGGGGGGGGGGGTGGGGTTACCAGAGCAGACTGTTGGGGGGGGGGGGGGTTACCAGAGCAGACTGTTGGGGGGGGGGGGTTACCAGAGCAGACTGTTGGGGGGGGGGGGTGGGGTTACCAGAGCAGACTGTTGGGGGGGGGGGGGTTACCAGAGCAGACTGTTTGGGGGGGGGGGGGGTTACCAGAGCAGACTGTTGGGGGGGGGGGTGGGGTTACCAGAGCAGACTGTTGGGGGGGGGGGGTTACCAGAGCAGACTGTTGGGGGGGGGGGGGGTTACCAGAGCAGACTGTTGGGGGGGGGGGGGGGTTACCAGAGCAGACTGTTGGGGGGAGGGTGGGGTTACCAGAGCAGACTGTTGGGGGGAGGGTGGGGTTACCAGAGCAGACTGTTGGGGGGGAGGGGTGGGGTTACCAGAGCAGACTGTTGGGGGGAGGGTGGGGTTACCAGAGCAGACTGTTGGGGGGGAGGGTGGGGTTACCAGAGCAGACTGTTGGGGGGGAGGGGTGGGGTTACCAGAGCAGAATGTTGGGGGGTGGGGTGGGGTTACCAGAGCAGACTGTTGGGGGGGAGGGTGGGGTTACCAGAGCAGACTGTTGGGGGGGAGGGGTGGGGTTACCAGAGCAGACTGTTGGGGGGGAGGGGTGGGGTTACCAGAGCAGAATGTTGGGGGGGAGGGTGAGGTTACCAGAGCAGAATGTTGGGGGGGAGGGTGAGGTTACCAGAGCAGAATGTTGGGGGGGAGGGTGAGGTTACCAGAGCAGACTGTTGGGGGGGAGGGGTGGGGTTACCAGAGCAGAATGTTGGGGGGGAGGGGTGGGTTACCAGAGCAGACTGTTGGGGGGGAGGGGTGGGTTACCAGAGAGACTGTTGGGGGGGAGGGTGGGTTACCAGAGCAGACTGTTGGGGGGGAGGGTGGGTTACCAGAGCAGACTGTTGGGGGGGAGGGTGAGGTTACCAGAGCAGAATGTTGGGGGGGAGGGTGAGGTTACCAGAGCAGAATGTTGGGGGGGAGGGTGAGGTTACCAGAGCAGACTGTTGGGGGGAGGGGTGGGTTACCAGAGCAGAATGTTGGGGGGGAGGGTGGGGTTACCAGAGCAGACTGTTGGGGGGGAGGGTGGGTTACCAGAGCAGACTGTTGGGGGGGAGGGTGGGGTTACCAGAGGCAGACTGTTGGGGGGGAGGGGTGGGGTTACCAGAGCAGACTGTTGGGGGGGGGGGGTTACCAGAGCAGACTGTTGGGGGGGAGGGGGGGTTACCAGAGCAGACTGTTGGGGGGGGGGGGTTACCAGAGCAGACTGTTGGGGGGAGGGTGAGGTTACCAGAGCAGAATGTTGGGGGGTGGGGGTGGGGTTACCAGAGCAGACTGTTGGGCGACCAGTTGAACATGTAAAAAACATCCCCTCTTTTGTGTCACAGCACTTCACATACTGTTACTGAAGAGAGTTAATATGTTTAGAGAGAGACCCCACTGTTACCTTGGTAACTAGAGACTCGACCACTCTGATAGAACGCAACAGAACAGTTACATTGCCCAACAAATCTGATCTAGAGATCCAGGAAGGGGAGGCTGATGTTGGGAGTCCTGAGGAGGAAGCTGAGGAAATTACCAGACCTCCAATACAAAGCAAAGTAGTTACATCTCCAAACGAACCAGGGACTACTCCTAATGTTGTGGAAACAAGCAGCGTTGTAAGGAGCAACAGCAGTGCTAATAGTCTAGTCAAGAAAGTACATTTTCCGGAAAAAGAGATAGCAGAAAAGGAGAAACCGCCGAAGCAGAAAACCAAGAAAGAAAGAGCCGGAGAAGATGTAGTTGAGGAAACGAGCGGAACAGAAAACCAGGCCAAGAAAATAGTTAAATCTCCCTCTCTTACTGGAACATGGAAAGCTTTGAAAAAATTGGTCAGATCCAAAGGAAGCGCGGGTAATCTACTAATCGACCTGCTAATTGAACTGCTAATTAAACTCTTGGCATGAGACGCATGTGGAACTTTCTGATCAAAGAAACAAAGTCACCTGTTTGAACCTTACTGATTCTGTAGTGTTAATTGAAGGACTGTTAAATCATGCCGAACCAAATTGTTTGCGAAAAATAAATGTTAAGTTTTATAGAAAGTAGTACTTATATTCTATTCAATATTTGTGTCTGCTCTGGTTTTTGCAAGTTTTACTGTTTCCCCTTTCAAAATAACAAATAATGTTTCGACTGGTCAGATCCTCTAATCTAACCCTTACACAGGTGGTAGAGAAAGTCCAGCTGGAGCCACTCCACAAAGAAATGGAATCACACCGCGGGGAGGCGGAGTCACACCCCGGAGAAGTGGAGTCTCACTTCGTAACGAGGAGAATGGTGTCTCACTTGTGAAAAGTACTAACGAGTTACTTCCATCCCTCCCTCCGACTGGGAGTTCTCCCGCGCCCGGCAAGCAGGCTAAGAAAGGTGAGTTGTGAGTTAGGATAACTTTTTGTTGATTGTAGTACGAGTTTGGCGATCATGGGGGGTCTATTCTGCAGAAGAGATTCATACCAATGCTAAATGAAGAGGTCTCCTCCTAGTCGTAGGAGTGGCCTGCATCACACATATCTCTTGAACGATGTAACAAGTTTCTCCATTCCACTCGGTTCAATGCTAACTGACGTGCTGCATCTCAGTTGATGTTGTTAACATCTGTAAAATTAGCAGCATCCTCGAGTACACAGGCCTGAAGCAGGCCATCCAACCTGTTCGGGGTCTCTCTTGTGACCTCTTTCCAAAGTTAGGTTTCCACTCCAGTAGAACATTCTAAAAGCACTGATAGGTTCATTAGATGAGTTAATGTTAGAGTCTTTAACATGTAAATTCCTTCAGCGATACAGTTGCAAAGGTTACGAACCCTAAAAACAGAGCCTGTTCTATCTACTCCACCTAAGCAAAAGCCGCGAGGGAAGAAAACGAAAAACCTCAACAAAGCACACGTAAAATCAGGTTAGTGATATTTTACAGCAGACATTGTATGAATTTACACGAAATGTAGACAAATTTGTGGCACTGAAATTTTGGCCGGATAACGTAAGTTGTACGCCAAAACATACCATGTTACAGAGAAACCACGACCGTGGGCAGTGAAGCGTAATTTGAGGAACATGGGCGAAACATTCCTAGTTCCAAAACTTCTTAGAGGTTCAAATGTGTTTTGTGATATGAATGTGTTGATGTTTTTGTGATAGTATCATGTCAATTGTGAACACTTGTCTGTAGGGGTGTACAAATTTCAGATTGTTCATTTGTGGGGGCAGTGTTTTGGTTCCACAGCTGGTCACATGGCTGAAAGAGATGTTGTATGTATCATAACTGACACAACTTGAGATTTGTATAAAACCAATTTCCACTACCCTTTACAATCATCACTTTTCACAATGCAATTATTAACTGTTATAAGCATCACTCCTTGAAATCATTTTTACTCCTTAAAAATCCACTATCTTCCATACGTTCAAGTTTGCTTTTACGGTATTCAAGAACTCCAGGATTCTTAGGAACCTTAGATAAGGTTTATTAATCTGTGTGTGGAATGTAATGAACGTCGCGACATACAACCCACAAATTAATAATCCCTGTCTAACATACCAAAGAAAGCTGAAGTTCTTGAGCATCGCAGAAATGAAATTTTATTAAAATTTGTCGTGAAACAGTTTATTATGATGCAGAGTTGATCAACATATAGCGTGCACAATTCTGGATATTATCGTACTAGACTCTGTGATTCAGTAATAATGTGGAAGCGGAGCAAATTTGCAGTGACACGTGATTAACCGAGGGAACAATCGGTTCTCTCATCATCGAAAAAAATATTCTAATCGTTGTCATTTGTCAGAATAAGTATTATATGCGCCATCTGTAAACGTTTTGTCGTTCATGACCTTAGACTATTAATCTGTAGAGTATTGCCTGACAAATTGGTAGAGACAAACAGCATATTTTGTTGTTTAGGTTTGGGTTTGTTTAATTATGGGATTTAAACTTTGAAAACAGGCCACAGAAATCAAGTTGGACTTTCCGTTCCATTTGTTCCGCGGAATAATATTTGACGAAAGCCGATTATCTCAAGATTCTTCTATACGATCTTGAAACTATCCAAATAGTAAGATTGAGTTGGATCATTTTCCGATAAGAGATTGGGGACAGGTTCTGTAACTAACCAACCAATCGGATAGTAAGACTAAGATGGTTATAAGACTGATCATCTGTGCAAGGTTGGGCGAATTCCCATGCGTCAAATTCTTCTGCAGAAATCATTAAGACTTAAAATTTTAGACATAAAATCTGAAACGCGCGAGAAACATTTAAATGATTAAAGTTTTCACCGCTCAAAGTGAGTGTGGTATTGCGCGGCTTTTCACCATATAACTCAAGCTAGATTAATCATGTGATAACTTTACAATTATAATGGCGCAGGAGGGTCAACCTGAAAAGAACATTGCTTGACCCTCCTGCCCCACCGCATGGATCAGGAGGTTCATTTCAGAAACAGTGCTTGACCCTCCTGCCCCACCACATGGATCAGGAGGTTCATTTCAGAAAAAACAGTGCTTGACCCTCCTGCCCCACCACATGGATCAGGAGGTTCATTTCAGAAAAAACAGTGCTTGACCCTCCTGCCCCACCACATGGATTACGGGGGTCATTTGAACCCACAAGACCATGTGCACTTATTTCTACATCGCGCGCGATACGTGTGTGCGTGATTACATGAAATCTTACCGCGCCCTACGCCAAGTAGACGAAAAGCGTGGTCGAAGAGCGAGAGTCGGTACAATAAATAAAACGAGAGTTGGTACATTTAACTGGCATTTTTTAACCGTTGTACAATCAGAATTGCATACAGCCGACACAGGATGAGGGGGGGGGGGGGGGGGGGCAATGACTACTGATGGAGACTTTTGAGCACCAATGGGGACGAAAATAATAGGGACTGAAGGTCAAATCGCTGGTGAAATTTTCCATTTGTCCCCATAAGTACCCAAAGTTTTGGCGAGTTTTATGTAGCTTTGATATTATCTTTTATTAAATGACTTCTAAAGGAGACTTTTGGGTACCAATGGGGGCTAAAAATCTTGGAGACTTGAGGTTAAATTGCTGGCGAAATTCTGCACTTGTCCCCAAAGTACCCAAAGTCATTGGCTCCCCCCCCCTCCCCCGGGTGAGGTGACGGAGAAAAATAAACTGAGCTCAAGGCTACATTTCCAGATATCCCGCCAGGGCACCGTCGCTCATGCTGCAAAGTGTGTTGAGAGATGCCCACGTCATCACACGTAAACTGTGTCACGAATACCTGAAATGCAGAACGTGCAGAACAAACATAACTCTGATCTATATTTTTCATAAAACTTTCAGGATTTGCCAATGAGGGAAAAGACAGCACTGTCCGAGAAGCTAGAAATGCATGAATCATAGGTGACATGGATAGGGGTAAGAAGTTTTTAAAAAACATGAAAATTGTGAAAGGAAAAGAAGTAGAAATGAGAAAGGGTAGATTTAAAATGTTTGAGAATCGATTTTGTGCTGAAGAACTCCGTCCGCAGGACGGGCTTCCGGCTACTTATGATAATTCGAATAAATTTGAGATTCAAACAAGCTACGAATACGAATGCTTATAGCAGTGGCAAGCTCGTGGCAAGCTCTTGTTTGCTGCGCATTGGCTGCAATGTATAACCGCAGTATGAACTGTCAAAATATTTGAATTTGCTTACCTAGTGGCTTTGTTTGATAAAGCATACATACTTTATATACCGATAAATCAATAACTCCTTTTGATTCTTCGGTTTGAGAATTGTGCGGTCACACATCTCTGCAATGTCTGAAAAGGTGGCAGGGAAGTATTGAAACTTACTTAACACTATATTTACAGTTAAACCTTGAACTACTATAACTAGGGCAGTAGGAAACGCCAAAAAGTAGATCATCTGACTAAAACAACTTAACTTCATCCAAGAGTCTAGTTAGCAGCATTGTAGCGATAAGATACCACCATAGTTTGAGCTGTCGACACTGAAATAAAACAAACAATTTACTTTTCACTACTGCAGGGGAATGCATGTAACATATAAAGAATAAAGATATAATATATTGTATGTTTTTCATCGTGGCCTCAGGGGAGAAGGGCAGCTCGAAAAACCGAAAAAAGTCTAAAAAACCGTGTTGGAGCTGGTGAGTTAAAGCTACCGATCTCGATCGTGAGAGTCAGATGATCAGATCGCATGTAACGTGAGTTTCGCCCGCCTGAATAAGGCAACATGAAATCATATTGCTGGTGACAGGTCTCGACCAAGATGTAAAATAAAGATACCCCAAATTTGTTATTTTTAAGCCGATTCACATCGACCCAAGTCTCTGCTTTGACCCTAAATGCTCAAACTTCGTTAATAGATTGGAAAATCGTGTTATGCTTGTTACTAATAACTGTTGTTTGTGAGAGGACATCTCGATTTCCCGGATCAGAGGATCACACCAATGAGGGGTTGATTGTGCATGTGTGAACTTGACTAAATTTTCAAATTGCCCGATTTTTTTTCAGTAGGTCACATTACTCGTGACGTGCAAATGTATCTTTTGTCTTTTAATAGGTCAAGCTCAGAGCTTTAAAGCTTTAAAGACTTCTCCGTGACAAAGACGGCCGACATATATCTTTACTCCAGGAAAAGTCAGAACTCTTTCCACACCACATTCTTAAATGTACACGACAGCAGAACGACGATGTAGCCCCACGCCGCAGTAAACTTTAAATTTCTGACCCGGAACGAGCCCAGCAACTGTAGACAGCTGCGTGAGCTATGTGCGGTTAGCAGATTTAAGAGCTTATGCAATAAGCAGTCACCGTTCACTCTCATTTTTGACTCTTCTTCTTTTGAACAACAAATGTCCATTGAATGATGCCAAGCTAAGCGATTATGATTAGAAAAGTACCGTGATTTACACTGATGGCTCATACAAGGACTTGTTGGACTTCGTGAATTTGGAGGACCTGCAGCTGTAATCAGTACTTCACTACCAGATGTGCGAGGCCGAGGTTCCCGTTTGACAACATTACAAGTGGACCACCCAGGCCGGGATGATCACGCGCTAGTTGACATGAGATCTGATTCTCCCGGGAAAATTGGGCGAGATGACCGGTGTCCTGTCAGAGGTCACAGATACAAGGATACAAAAATATAAATATTTTATTGTACAATTACAATAGTCGTATAAACTTGACAAATTCGCCTACCATCACGTGACCCTCGTCAACGAGCAAGTGAAAAATGTGTTCACAGCATTTATATTATACGGTAACTACACCATAGATTGACAAGCTAAGCGTACAGAAAAACGTCCAACTCCGGACTATAATAAAACTCCGGTATAATAGCGTTTTTGACGGAGCAATTTAATGGCCTGGAGTAGGAAACTTTGTTGACCGGAATAAATTGATCCGAAAGGCGAAAGATACATATGAGAGGCCATCATAAGATGGTACCAAAATATCTCTGTGAAAAGTCCTTTTTACTTTTTTAAGCGTCAAAAGTCGGTGCACTTACTTTATCCATCGAAAAAAGGCATCCCCTGGTGGCTCGTAAAGTATCGATTTTAGCTGTCTAGTAGCCATCTTCTGTGCTCTCTGGCAGTCTAAGAAGAAACATTATATACGACTCTATACAAATAATCTTATTATAAAACAGGATCATACATAGTTAATAGAACTCCATTAAGAAAACATCTTAACTACGTAATCTGTGCCTAGTACAACAGTTTCCAACACTTCCTACAGCTAATGAGGTCTGATCGTCATCTTCTTACAGCGTTCGATGTCTGTGTGAAGGTAAAATGGTGATATCCTCTGGATCAGGCAGAGGTTGAGTGTTATCGGGATTATTTCTTTAGTAGTGGAACAGCTAGCAATATCCCTTATTTCATTTAAATCACTCAAATTTCTAAGTTCTAAGTTTCTA